TGAGCTTCTCCACCCATCTCCCCACCTGCACTTTATTCCCTCATCAGCCACTCTCCACATAAACCGGCCCACTTCCTTTCTTTCTCTGTCAGTTTGTTAAAGGTGTTGTGCATTTTGGTTTCTTTTCTCTATTTTTGGATACCTGCTCTCCTGTCTGTCTGTAAACTGATTTCTTCAATAAATCACTGAAAATCTTTTTTGCAGGGTCTGCATTTGGGTGCTTTCCCTGTTGCCTCACTTATTCACCTACCTAATAACAAGAGGGTGCCTGATAAATTTGTGCACCACTAGTGTATCACTAGTCTACCAGGAAAACCAGCAGTCCTGGCAACTGAAACTTCAGATTGGTAGGTGTGGATAAGCCAACAACAACCAAAAGGAAAAAAGAGCTTATTGTTGCAAATCATGCAATTTTAATTCAAAAGTGTTTATATATTTGAGTGAATCTATAAGACCAATTCAATCAAATTTGGAGGAGTAAAGAGAGGTGTTATCCCTTCCTTTAAATTTGGTAGGCTGAAAAGTAAGCATGTCTACCTGCAGTAGTTTCTTTACATGAGAAGAAACAGCGTTATCCCTCCTGGAGGCTTCAGGTCTACTATGTCATGACATGAGCAGCAACAGACTGACATTCTGGAGCCATGGAGCAAGGTCAACAAGCGTGCAGTGACATTTGGGGTGGATGAAGCAGCAGTAACAAGGTAGTCTGGAAATGAGTCAGGTGCAGAGAGAAATAAATGATAAGAGAAACATAATCCAGCTGGTTTAACAAGGAAAGCTGGATTTGCTGCATTATAAACTAACTGCTGTTCATCAGAAAGGCAAACTACTGCCAACAGTGACAAGTTCTGTGGTGCGGTAACTTACAGTACTGTTCCCACCCCAGAACTGGTTTGAGCACTACAGCCCTTGGTTCAGTGTCAGCAATTACTGTTCGATGCATCAGCATTAGTTAATATGTTAATAGCAATGACTCATAGGGTGGAATACACTTTACATACCTGCAGGAGCAAATATCTTGCAAATATGCATGTGTGGGGTGATGTATACACTCAGGTATACTTGAGAGTCCTCATGTGGGTGAATAGCTGTATAGAGCTGTGACCTCAGCCCTTTCTCCCGAGCTGCATGTTGAGTATTCTGCAAGGTTTGGGTGTGGTTTGTAAAACTACACTCTGTACTATTGAAGTCCTTGTGAGAAGCACAATGTGGACAAAGCTCATGCAAATGCACAATTCCCTTCCTCAGGCCATGCCTTGCTCTGGCCCTTATCTGCAGCACTTGGAATGCTTGAATTTCAACCAACAATCACCCACCAGTGTCCACACTGACACCCATTTGGGAAAGATATTGCAAACAGCAATTCCTGATTTGCCTCTGTGTGTGAAGAAGCAAGCAGAGCAAACGGGTTACAAAACACACTGAAGCTGGGGTCTGACAGCAGACTTTTTCACTGTTGGGTTTGGTTACTTTCTGAAATGCACTCTTTTTGTAATGACTCATTGAGTGACCAATACTGTTTGGGTGACTCTGTATGTCTGCATGAGTTTGCCCCGAATGCAGGCAGGCAAGCAGCTATTCAAAATCACACAGGGACACCCACTCTATCAATTCTTTGTAAGCAGGGAATTCCTTGATATCTCCACACCAGATCCCAACTGAAGTGGCTCAGGTAGTGCAGCTCATCCAGGATGGCACATCAATGCGAGCTGTGGCAAGAAGGTTTGCTGTGTCTGTCAGCGTAGTGTCCAGAGCACGGAGGCGCTACCAGGAGACAGGCCAGTACATCAGGAGACGTGGAGGAGGCAGTAGGAGGGCAACAACCCAGCAGCAGGACCGCTACCTCCGCCTTTGTGCAAGGAGGAGCAGGAGGAGCACTGCCAGAGGAAAGGAATATTTAATGAGATTATTTAATTCATTCAGATCTAGGATGTGTTATTTTAGTGTTCCCTTTATTTTTTTGAGCAGTGTATTTTGGGCTTGTATAGCTTACTGTATGAGGACAGTTCACTTCTCATTACCTGACTGCAATTCCATGAACACAGTCCTTTATGATGCAAGAATGCTGAGAGTGAATGTTTCAGATACAGAATGTCAACTAAGCTAAAGAACCTTCTTCCTTTTATTGTGATCTGTTTTGACATTATGCTACTGCTATCACTGCCGCTGCTACAGTTGCTGCTACTTCTGCAATTACTGCTACTTCTAATGCTGCCGCTACTGATGGGGGGTGGGATTGGAACTGGAAAACTACCTGCCAGGCTACTAGAAGTTTACTCGTGCCTGTATGGAAATGTCTGTCTCTGTCTACTGCTGCTACTATTGATACTGCTATTGCTGCCACTATGGTCAGTACTGCTACTACTACTACTTATGTTGCTGCTGCTACTACGCTGCTATAATAATAATAATAATAATAATCCATCCATCATCAACTGCTTACCTGTCAACTGCTTGGAATAATAATAATAATAATAATAATAATAATAATAATAATAATAATAATAATCTTTAGATCTTTTCAAAATCAATGTTTTAAAGTGCTTTACAATGTCAGCAGATTGCTGCTATTGTTGCTACTGTTGACTGTTACTTCAGCTACTGCTACTATAGCTATTGTTCCTACTGCTGCAACTTCTATGGTTGCTGTTCCTACACTACTACTGTTGCTGCTGCTACTGTTAATGCTACTGCTGTTCCTACTACTGCTAGTATTGCTATTAGCCTATCGCTATTAATGCATAGCATTAATCCTATCAAAATCAATGCTGTGTCCTTGTTTACATTCAGGGGATGGGTAGCTGTAGGATATGAGTCCCACGATTTGTCCTCAGATGGCAGCATGCAGAGAGACACTTTTAATATGTAAATATGAATGTTGCTGAAAAATTTGGTAGGAAAATACACTAGGAGCAATGTCGTTGTTTGATTGGTTTGCTCGGGCAGATTTTACTCTGTCTTGTAGGCCTGCTGTAGGCTTTAGGCTACGTGATGCTTGCAGGCAACCAAATTATTTCTCACATATGAACTCTATCTGTTCTTGAAAAAGCTTGATTTGCTCTGATTGGGGGACCATTCCTAGTGTTTTTGTTACTACTGCTCCTAATTTTGCTACTGCGACTATTCCCAGATAGCAAGATGACATTAAATAAATATTGATTTTCCATCTGAATCCTCAGAATGGTTGAGATTGAAATCTCAATGCTAAATAAATGTTGAATCACTATTGCAATACTGATGAAACACAACCATATATGAGAGTGCCATTAGAATAACATTGCATTGATTTATAGTTGTTCTGATTATAATTGATTAAGCATTGATTTTTTTTTGTTGACCGCGTAAAAAACAACAATGTTGAAAAGTCATCTATTTATAGTTGACTGGAAAATATGATCGAAAAGTCTGGAATATTCACCAGGAGACCATTGCTTGGTGGATCAGTGTTCCTGAACACATCTCATGAGTCCACATCAGGTAAGCATGCAAGCATGCATTTATTTATGTTGAATTGTACTAAATGTAATATTCGTAGACGTTTAACGTTTACTGACGTTGTCTAACATTATATGCAGTCATAGATATGTGTTTCTATGCCATTTTAAACTGACAAATAGCTCAATATCCAAGTTCCATCAAAATAGGCTGTTTTGTTCCTCTCAACATCATCACCGGAAGTTATTGTCCTGCACAGGACTTAGGATGATGTATTTTATCTTTGGTCAGATTTCAAGAGGTTTACAAAATATATGCATGCCTTTCCCTTTCTCTCAACTGATCCTAGCTAACACTCCTGTCATTTAGCTTACTTTAAACAAGACCACTATCTTGACACATCTCTCAGTCTTTCACTACTTTGAGGAAGCCTCTCAGTTTGATCTATGACTACATTTTATGTTAGATAATGTAAATAAACTTTAAACGTCATTGGATTCCACCACAGCCATGCAGTCCACGGCTACTATCAACTAGTGTCAACTGTTACACTATGCCCAGTATGGCACCCATTAAGTCCAGCTGACATTATTTGTCATATTCACATCATACAAACATCAAGTTATAACTTTATGTTTTTGTTTGTATGTTTTCTGTTTTACATGCCCTGACTCAGAAAATGGGGACAGGATTCATTGCCTTTGCCCCAGGCAGCGCAAAAATGACTTCCTATGCTCCAGACCTGACTGGGCGGGTCTGGACACTGACAACAGAGCAGTGAAAAAATTTCTTTTTTTTTTCTTTTTTTTTTACATAAACTTGTTTTGTTTAAATGTTGTAAATTGTCTGCTGTCATTTATGTATTAGATAAATCCTAATGTTTATGAAAGCCTTCATAACATTTATCCAGGTTGTAAATAAAGCAGGACATATTTTATTGTATATTAAATAGTGTCTTTTCAGTGGTTGAAATAGCATTGAAGTCACATTGATTTTTAGTGAGGCCATCATTTCAATGTTGTTTCAATTTCAGTTATGCTCCTACTGCTGCTACTGCAAAGTACTGCTAAGTAGTTCTACTGCTCCAAACAACTGCTACTGGTAAGTACTACTGCTGCTGCTAGTACTGCTACTTGCCTATTAATGCATAGCATTAATCCATTCAGTATAAGTGGATGAGTAGTTGTAAGAGTCCCACATTTTGTCCTCAGATGGCAGCAAGCAGACAGACACTTTGAATATGTAAATAGGAATGTTGTTGAAACATTTGGTAGGAAAATACAGTAGGAGCAATGTCATTATTTGATTGGTTTGCTCTGCAGATTTTACTGTCTTGTAGGCCTGCTGTAGGCCTATACCCGATGCATGCAGGCAACAACATTATTTCCCACATATGAACTCTATCTCTTCCTCAAAAAGCTTGCTTTTCTGTGATTGGGTGACCATTCCTTTCTGAGTGAAGGGGTGGGGTTAGACCTGGAAAAACTCCCTGCTACTACAAGTTTAGTCATGCCTGTCTGGGAATGTTTGACAGTCTCTCCTGAAGAGAGTCGCTGTGGGGTGGCTGAAATCACCTCGCCTGTGTCCATCAACATTACATAAAGAAATAACTGCAGATATCAGATCAGCTGCTGCAATAAAAGGCACAAATGGTCCAGATCATACAGGATTGTTGGTTAATTTTAGGTTTGTTCTCTTGGGCTCTCGGCCAATCAGCAGTCCCATTTCTTCACATAGTCACAGCAAGACCCACCAATGACCTCATGGTCGCCCAAGCCTGCTGTGTGGGAGGAGAGACTTTACCTGAGGAGGTCAGAAGCACTTCCTCCTCCACCACGTTTAGACTCAGGTGAGTGGGAAGTGTTACCTGGCCAATACCTGCACTTCTACACAAACGGCGTCTCTTTAACATTGGAGAAAAGGTAAATATTCATTTCATAGCCTGTGTTACTCATTGCTCTGCTTTAAATTAGTCCACAGCATTTGATTCATTTGTTTTGCTCATATCAGCTGGACAAAGTTTTATCCCCATTATGCTGCATATAATTTCTCACGTTTCATTATTTTGGTTGCTTTTCAAATAATAGTGCCAGAGCAACTGGGTCGCGCGTTTGCTTACAGTGCAAAAATCGCGAATTAAATATTTTTGCTTTGCTCGTTCGCGGAACGCCTGAGTGTGCCTGCTGTGTCCTGAGGCGCATTTTTGAAAGCGGAGGTTTCCCCGTGTGTGTGATCGCGTCTGTTCGTTGGGTGCCCTGTGCATAATATGTGGGAAATACTACATTATGTGGCCACAACAATCTACAGTACCCTATAAATCATTATTTAGTCAAACGGTCTAAATTGTGTCCACAGAAAGGCTGGTGTGTGGATGTAACGTCTCCAAAACTCACCTGCAGGGAGCGCGTCCTTGCAATTGACAGCAGGCATGCTGTGTGACAGATAGTTATGGAGTTAAAGGGAAAGGAACCCATTAATGAAGAAAGCATTGCCTTGATCGTGTTTTGGTTATCTCCTTGTTATCATGCTCAGCAGCTTATTTAAAATATAGCAACTTCCTATTGATCACTGGGGGTTGCTAATTTGTCAAGTGGTAAAGTGATATATCAGGAGGTATTTGTGCGCCCTTAATTATTTTTGCTGTTTGCTGTGACATCGTCTGTCTTTACGCCAGACCACTACAACACTCGCTCGTGCGCTCTGATCACCTCGCGCCTACTGGGAGACCCCAGCATGAGTGGGCGGCACCAACTGGCGCAGCGATGCTCTAACCGGAGAACGGTGCTACATTCATGTCCCATAGGAAATAACTAGGTGTGCAAGCCTCATAGTTAAAGCGACTGAGAGAGTTATGTTCCCCTTTTATAGTACTTAACATGCACCCACTGCTTTATTTGTACAAAAAGGGATGTTCATTAAACCCATCATTCATGACAAATGAGTGATGGTGTAGATTCAGCCAGGTCAGTTGTTCAGAGCTGCCTAAGCTAAAGACCAGCCCGTTTGTTCCTCTCATGTATGAACATCACCGTCATCTTTGATAAACCCATTGCTTTATATTGGCTGTGTGGTAATAGGCTATATGAGAAGGAAAACTGAGACTACTCTTACTTTCACCCTAACCAGAATAGCCCAATTCATAAAAAATCTAAACTTATTCACCAAAATAATATCAGTCCTTCTGTTAGTAAACCAAACAGTAGCCTAATTTATATAGGCCTACATTGGTAGCCTACAGTAGAATGATATAGGCTAATATGAGCTGCTGTAAAATCTGAACCACAAGGTGAGATCGAGTTAGTTACAGCTCCCTACCATGGAGTTTTATAACAACTGTTGACTAAATGTCATCATTTTGTAAATTTGAAACTTGATCTTCAAAAAAAGGATTCACACCACAGCTGTAGGAAAACTGAGGAGAACACACTCACCGCATCACCTGAAAACTGAGATGAGTTATGGACAGGTAAGGCAGAAGTGCCACATTTCCACGTTTTCCTATGAGCTATGAATGCAACATCATTTCAGACCGTTTTGGCCAAAAAATCGCCCAGCTTCCGCGAGCGTTATCACTGCCGTGTGTGAGTGGATTCGTTCATTTGGACAGAACGTCCTCACACACGGAGGTGTGTTTTAGCAGAATAGTCTCTTTCTGACTGATAATGTCGTGCAGGCAGCATCTATTTAGACCTGAAAAAGCTTCTGTAATCCTCTCCTTGAGATAAATAACACGCTACTGTGTAGAGACAGTTGCTTATTTTGAACATCCATAGGGAACAGTTTTTACAGTATGTCAGCTTTCTAAAAGAATTAAGTGGTAGCTCTCCGTCCAGCGTTTCCATGCAACAGCGCAGGCGGCGGTGAAGCCACGGAGCGGGGGGGGGGGGGGGGGGGGGCATAGATGCTGGTGCAGAGAGCGACAGCACTGTAGATCTAGTTGGGATCTCTAAAGGAACCTTGAGCGCCTTTTTCAACCAAATGGAGCGACAAGATGATGGCGATGAGCCGGCAGGGATCTTAAAGAAGCACCATAGCACAACAGAGGAGCCCGGTAAGAGCGCTTTATTCCCCAAGAGATTTATCTCCAAATTTAGCAAGAAACACAATAATAGCCTACGATGATGATGATTAGTGCGCGCTCGCTGAGACGCTTTGCATCTGTGTGACAAAAAGAAAATTGAGTGCCGAGATGTCTTTAAATACCTTCTGGTTGATTTAGGTGCATCTGCAGAAATAACGCACATGGGCGCACTGAAACAGTTTCAGATGAGCCCGCTCATCAGTGCTACCTGGAGTTAACCAAATTTTATATTAAGATGCTGATGGGTTTGACAGCTAAAGTGATGGTCATTGTAACATGCTGGTTATAATAGCATACACACACCATATTTGTACAATTTGTGAAGTCATTTTGTGTGCGCATCCCCAACAACCAAAAGATAATAATAAAAGCCCATTATTTACCCATAACCTTAAAGAGGTAGTTCAGACTTTTCTCACATTGTGTGGGTTATTGGTGGATGCAATCTCTTTCAGAGTGAGAACCTTTTCAATTTTGAGATTTTTAATACAAAGTATTTTTGTTGTGGCTGTTTTTGACCACTTGGGGGGCAGCATAACATGAATTTAACACAACATTGACATATTATTGCCTTATAAAGTAGATATGGTGAATGTGAACATGCCCGCTCCACCAAATGGACCATTACAGCTTACTGTGTCCACGGGAGCCTCTACCTATTCAAATCTGAAAACAGCAAATGGACCAAAAAGTCCATGTTATGGTCTACACCAACACCACGCTCTTTCACTGCTAAACGCTCCACTATGTTCACCAGCTAGACTCTAACTAGTATACATTAGTGTATGAGTGTAATATTACAGCATTAAATGAAATATTTAATGTTAGTTTAATATTAATATGTTATTCGTTAAGACTGAACAATTAAACTGTTTCACACATAAAACTGTTGTGTGGTAGTACACCACTGTGGTTAAGGTTTGATTACAGCTAATGTTAGTGTATTCATTATGACTTCAGATAATTGTATATTAGTACAATATTATTCCAGTTGGACAAAACAGCAGTGTCATTTTTTAAATTGAATTCAGTTTCAAACTATTACATTTAAGTTTAAATTATGCTTTTCACAATTATTTACGTTTAACAAGACAAAGTAAAATTAAGCTATTCAAATTCAGTTTTTTATTGCAATTATTCAAGCGGAGCACTTTAAAGTCAGATCTAAATCATACAAATTCAGATTCTACTGACACAAATATCAGCCCATTCCCAAGCTTCTTGCCACTCTGTCTCGGCCGACAGAGTTTAGCAGACAGGCGAGAATGGGAACAGGTGAGTGTAGTACCCAGAGAAGCGGACATGGAGAGGGCAGCAAAGCGAACCAGCAGCTTGTGAGAAATGCCAATACGCAAGAAAAAGTCCCTGTACGCCAAATAGTAAAATGTAGAAGTGCCGGTACTGCGTAGCGGTGAGTACCGGCTCCCCTCAAGCACTGGTTTTGGCAGAAAAGTGGAAACAAGGTGTATGAGAGCAGTGAACCAAACAGTAAAGTTGGAGGCCCAAAAACCAAAACAATTTGCTAAAAGGCTCCATGGAGCTGAGGGGAACCGTAGAGTTAGGTAGTAATTCTTTAAGGGTTTTGTCACTTCAAGTGACGCCTTTTACATTACACATTTGATCAATTATCAATGTAAAAATATTTATTTATACCACTTTAAACACAAAATAACCATTTGAATCAATATGATGAACATAAACAAAAGTTCTGAAGTCAAGCTACACAGAGAGATAATGGTAATTATCACATTATGTCTTAGGTTTAAGGTTAAGGTTGTTTTTTTAACCCTTTACTGCCTTGTGAGCTCATTGGTTTGACTCACCTGTTCTGTACTTTCTACATGTCATCCTGATGAGTTGTGGGTGTCCTCCTAAAGAACGTAATATGTGCTGAAAAGCCAATTCATACAATTATGTGGCACTCAGAGAGCCAGCACTCTTTGTTATGATATGAATATTTGTTTGCATCATCCTTAGAATCAACACTGTCAGCAGATTCCATTGCATCCTGTTTGATCTTTATTTTTTATAAATGGATTCTGTGTAAACCATCCCCTCATTAATGTTGGGCATGGCACAGGGTTGCAACTTATTCTATATTATGATTAGGGTTGTGAGAAGGATTAAAATGTGACAGGAATTCTCATCAGGTTAAATCATCTGTGTCACTCAGTTGACATCTTTCACATGCTGTCACGCCACACATCAGTTTTCTCACGCAGTGAAAAACCATAATGATAATGTCGTCAAGCTATTAATCATTATCAACTCCACCCAGCTGATTGTAATCAGGTGAATCTGCTCTCACACTGTGAGTCCAGACAGTTGTGACCAAGTAGTAACTAACTGGTAGAGTTTTGAATCATAAACATCGAATAAGCAAGGTGCAAACTAGCTGTGTTTGGATTGTGAGCTGCTATTTATTGGATGTGTCGAAGTTGTGTGGTGAGATTTCTGCCTGATCTCAAGTGTTTTTAGTTAGTTTCGGTTTCCAAATGTTTTGAAGGGGATACTACAAGCGGAGCAACAACGTAATGCACAGCAGAGTATAGGGCAGGTAGACTTAAAAAATATTCTCATTTTCATTAAATGATAACGTTAGTCACATAATATTACAACTTTTTTCTCGACAAATCAGAGAACATAGAAATGCGGGATAGATATTGAATGTGCAGAAAGTTTTGAACATGAGCAGAAAACCTGTTGAAACACAGGAGCTTGAAGTCCAGGGGTCTTATTTATAAATAGTTTGCATGGGCAAAACGGGGCTGGAAATGTGTGGATGCCCATGCAAAGGTTGTGATCTATAAAAACTAGCTTGACAGGAGAATGTACACAAACTCTGAGCGACGCATACGCACATCACATGGCAGAAGGATTCAACGTTTTGAATGTATACTATTGCGTAAAATAAATCAAAATATTACCTCTGAGCATTATAGGCCAATGAAACTTTATGTAATTTAATGTTCATTTGCAAAACAGATGAAAGCCTTTTGTTTTTTTGTCCAATAATAAATATAATTTAAGATTATTTGCAGCGCACATTAATAATAATAAATACAAATGGTTTTTTATGTTTTTGCAAAAGAACTCAAATATGTTGTTCAGTTTGATCAGGAATCAAATTAATTAATAATTAATTTATTCTCATAAATAAGGTTAACAGTAGGACACATTAAATTTAAATTGATACCGTTTTCGATACCTCAGTCGAGCAAATACGAGTTCACGCCTGCGAGGTGGATGGATCATCTCGGCAAAGGAGGAGTGCTCACTGACACAGATTTTGGCAGATTTGTGAACAATATTTGAGAGAAATAGGCCTTTTGTGTACATGAAAAACATGAGAAAGACTTTGATCTTTGAGTTCAGCTCATGATGAATAGTGGAAAAAGTGTTGCGTTTATAATTTTGTTCCAGTGCATAAGCTTTATCAAACAGGAAAGTCTTAAGAGGAATCTTAAATGTTTAGATGTCTGCCTCCTGAACTCAAACTGGGAATGGGACAGGCTATGGCTCCCATTCTACTTTTGATTAGATATAGGTCTATAGTTGACTAAGACTCTTTGATCAAGAGTGGGCTTTTTGAGAAGAGTTTTAATTACAGCTACTTTAAAAGGTATGTGGCGCATAGCCGGTTAGTAATTAGAGATTGATCATATCTAGTAAAGAATCATCATTTCATCTCCAAATACTAAAAGTCCACTTGCAATGTGAACCAAAAGTGACACCTGAGAGTTCTGCTTCACCTGCACAATGTCCTTAAAAGAGACACAAAATGATGGCATGTCGTCCGTTGTTGTTTTGTGGGGTCCTCTTTCAGTCTGGGGTTCCTACTATTTAGAAGGGGGTGGGAGCTTAAACCTCTGGGTGCCTAGGGGCCCATTTATGCCCTTGACAAATGCAGAATTTGCAGAAAATTTTCATAAGGCAGTCTGGTAAACTGGCTTTAAATACCAGCATGGGCAGTGATATCTTGAAGATAATAACCCACACGGATAATTTCCAATACATCTCTCTATCCTTCTCCCAGGTTCGCCTCCCCTGGCTTATGAGCACTCAGGCAGCCCACAGCAGAAGGAACCCGCCGTGATGAGGGGCAGTGACAACTACCAGCCCGTCCCTGGTGAAGAGAAGAACCTGGATGTGGACTTTGTCAACACTGAGTCCAAGAGCAATGAATCAATAGTAAGACACTACATCCATATTGTCATTCCAGTGCTGCTGGGTTATTGCAGGTGGTGTAGAGCAATGATTCAGAGGCCGCTGAGCTGTGAAATGTTTTACCATAAAAAAGCCAAATGGGTGAAAAGTGAAATATTATTAAAATATTACATTTCCCTGGGACGCATTCGAGTACTAAGCTGTTAATTTACTCCATTCTGGTGAATTTTTCTGCACCAATTATTACCCCCAAATATTTTCATTCATGTAAAAGGAAACACAAAATTCAGATGGCAGGTGACAATACAAATCTAAACATATAACTGAATATAATGCTGTACAGCTCACAGGTAATCTGTGTTGCTTTCATATATGATTTCTCCTGTAGATCAACTTTTCTAATTTAATTTCATCCCTGCTGAGCCAGCACACATGCAGGCATGATTTAGTCTTCCCTCCTCTTTGTGTCTTTGTTTGTGGAAGTCACCTCTTTAAATGTGATTGTGGCACCTTTTCACCTCCAATGATAAATTAATTCATTTAAATTCAGTTAAAAACTCCTGGACTTTAATAGCGGCTGTGTTTCTGCAGGTTTTCTGATCATGTTCAAAACTTTCTGCACATTAAGAATCTCTCCCACATATCTGTGTTCTCTGACATGTCCAGAAAAAAGCCAGAATATTACGAGACTTACTTCATCATTTATTGACAATTCACAATATTTTTAAGTCTACCTGCCCTGTACTCTGCTATGCATTATGTTATCTCTCCGCTGGTAAAATCCCCTTCAGACCATTTGACGGATGTATTTTGGGACTGCATGTTGCATGATGTTAAAGCAACTTCAGCACCCACTTGATTACTGTCACATTGTATGCCGGTGTCAGCTGGGTGGAGTTGATTTTCTGCGAGTCTACATTATGAGTTATACATTTGTTTGTAGTTGCATGAGAAAATTAATGTATGACTTGACTCCATGTGAAAAATGTCAAATGCGTGAGTCCCGCAAGATAGCTTTTACCCTGCAGAGAGATCTCGTCACACTCCTATTTACTAATGTTGTTCCAAATTGATCTAGAAGGGTTTGTAAGTGGTCAAAAGGCCCCTGTTAAAGGTAGTTAGATATTTAAATACTTTAATTTCAAGTAATGTAAGGGTGTGAAATTGGGTGCATGGGCAGACAGAGTTCCAGTATACTCTAAATTACTTAACATTTGCTGCCCTCAAAGGCTTCAAAGCAATGACTCTATTAGTGAAAAACTTGGGATAACAGATTAACAGCACATGACCACTATGACAGGTCTGTACCACTCTTAAATTGTGTTCAATTCAAAATACAAGAACATTAGTGATGCGGCAAGTTTTCCTAAATCACTTGTACAAGCCACTTCAGAACAAATCTGTTTGTACAAGTGGTTCTTGAGTGAGGCCCAACGTGAGTTGTGTCTGCGGTAAAAGTTGTGGCTATAACAGTAGGAGGAAATTGGGAACCTCTTGCAGATAAAAATTGAACTGACGTCTGTGTGACGATACAGGGGTCATGTGAAAAGGGGGGATACTGACCAACTGTAACAGCTTAGTGTTAGGAGCCTGATGTGAGCTGTTTTAACAGCCACTACAAGCACGTCTCTTTGAGAGAATTTCTGTGTGGGTACCTGTGTTGTAACTGTTCTAGCATCTCTTGTCTTCAGAGAAATAGATCTCTTGTTCATGTACAACAGCACCCCTTTGCCAGCATCTGTAGCTAGCCGCAGAACACCAAGTTCAACAATCTATCATGCAAAATGAAGAGTAAAGCAACATAAAAAATGGCAGAACTTGGAGGTACCAAGTTATAAGTGAATGCTTCTTCATTTCTGGTCCTTGTTGAGATAACGGGGCGAAGTAAAATAGTTATCTCACACATACAGTAGGTGCTTTACAAAAGTTAAGTGTGGGAAACATTCTGTAAAGTAAGAATGTTTTCAAAAATAAACATGTTAATAGATTATATCTATCAATTACCAAAATGCAAAATGAATAAACAGAAGAAAAATCTAAATCAAATTTTTGGTGTGACCACCTTTTGCCTTAAAAACAGCGTCAGTTCTTCTTGGTACACTTGCAGGGCTGGACTGGTAATCTGGCATACCGGGCAAATGCCCGGTGGTCCGACGCACCTTTGGGGCGTAAAGTCTGCAGCCAAATGCACAAAAACAACCAATATGTTTGCTATCAGGGCTGCAGTAGCTTCAACATCAGCTGCAGCACCCAAAGTAGAGCAGACACAGGCACCTGAAGGAGAAAAGGAGAGCTGTGGCCCTTGCCAGGCAGAGGAGGAGGCGTGTGTTAGTGAGTGACAAAGTGACAGGGCCAAGTGAGAAAGTGAGCAGGAGGAGAGTGGAGGTGAGCATGGAGTTGCTCAACCTGTAGGGAGGGAGCAGGAAGGGAGGCTCATTTACACCGGGGACGCTGGGGACATGTAGCCACCACTTTTTGAAAGCATTTCTTCTGAAAAATTGCTTGCACCAAGAAATGTTAATAAACAAATAAAAATGCTATGAGAAAGGTTTATTTGCACAATAAGCCTGCAATTCAGTGTAATTATAGAAGAAAACTGTGTTTTCCAAAATAATCGTAGTTTTAAACTTAGTCTAAAAACAAGAATAAGCACTGATTAGTGCATTATATTCTATTATATTTTTATAAACTGAATTGTCACCTGCAACCTGAATTTTGTACTTTCCTGGTGTAGAAAATGTCTCCAGAATGCAGGAAATTGAGTGTTTAATGTTCAAAATCTTATTTTTCCTAAATAGTAGGCCTAATAAAATATGTTCTTTCATGTTGTCATGGCCACAATCTTGTGCAATGTTACATCTCATAGGCTAAGTGTTTCGTCACACCCCTAATCTGAGCCCTTAAATGGAAGGATGGTGTGTTGGTGAGGGGTGTCCGACCGATGTTGGTGGGCCGCCTGGGCCAAAAATGCCAGGGCTGATATTTTTTGTCCCGGTCCAGCCCTGGGTGTGTGATTAAACAATTATACCAAACAGGTCCTAATGATCACAACTTCAATATGTGACACAACCATTTTTATTGTAATATGGCCATAGAATGTCCATGCAAGTAATGAAAATGTAAATTAATTTGTAACACATATGTGAAAAATAATTTTGCGTGTCCCTCCCAATATCCCGTGACTTCTGAACTGTCAATAATTTTGATCTAAAATAAAAATATAACTACTATTAAAAGGCAACTACTGACAGATGTAGTGAGTTATTCAGACCATCAGGGGCAAAGTGAGAGATATACAAAAGTCTATTATATTGTAGGATTATTTAGAAAAATCTCAGTCAGCATCTGTCCCTCTCTTCTTGCACAGTGTCTGAGGAGTGAGAGTGAGTTACTATGGTCTCTCTGAAACTTGGCGACAACACAATATTATTACAGATTTATTATTGGCACTGGGGCCTTACAGGTTACTGGAGTGAAAATTCCACAGTAACCTGAAGCTTTCAACATGCAAAAACTGACTGTTCCAGCTTTATTGCAGCTTACTGTTATTGACTTGAAAACTGCTGGGTTGTCTCAGCCTTGAGCTTATTATGGCTGAGAAATGTGTGTGTGCTGTGTGTCCTCGTGTGTGTGCGTGGGTGGCTGTGTGCGTGTGGAAGCCCAGAGGAGAGGAGAACCTCATTTTTCCCGGGGGCTTGGTGAGAAAAGAGTTCCTATTGGTGAGTGATGCATACACCACCACATCCTCATGCGCCCTCTGAGAAATGACCTCTGACTTTTGCAGCTATGACTACTTCCTGTTGAGAGACAGCTGAAGATGCGTGCGTGCGTGCGTGTGTGTGTGTGTGTGTGTGTGTGTGCTAAAGATGAGGCTGGGGGGGCTATATACAGTGCACACAAACCAGCTCCTCATGATCTATCACAGACACAAGAACACACACAGAGGAACACACACTGTTGCTGTACAGTGAGTTTGGAGGATGTACAGAGAAAAGCACTTTTTATTTCAGCACAACAACTGTGTCAATATTAGTTTTGTGATTCATTGTTGATCTACGGCCATGAAGGCAATTCACCTCCATTCAGCCTGAGGATATGACTCTTTTATTGACAGCAGACTGTCTGAACTTCAACATGCATTGCCATGTAATTGTTTCTCTCCCATGTAAACATCAGTGTTGGATATCAGATGCTTTCACAAATTCCCATATGTAGTAGGTGTTGTCTTAGGCCTTAAGACATATATGTGCAGTGGTCACTTTATGAGGTACACCTGCGTAATACCGGAGCAGAACCTATCCATACAAACAGAACATTCAAAAGGCTGATGGCTGATTAATTGGGGAATTCAATGTCTTTAACACTTTTCCTGCTTGGGAGCTCTGGGGGCAAAAAAAACTGTGCACTATTGATTCTACACACTCTCTATTGCTTTTAATAGATAGTTGGCCACTTGGAGGAAGCGGAACAACCTGTGAACACCCTATGTTTGGCTAGCTATGGCGAATTTGTTAGCAAACAGCTTCTTAGTTACACATCCAGCAGACACAGAGCAACATTGTCATTCATTTGGAGGGGTGTTTCTGTCCAACCAACAAATGTCCAGAAACCAATATTCACTCACTTTTAGCTCTGTTTTTAAGTGTCCACCAGCTGCTGAACAGGTAGTGTACAAGTGCATCTCAGAAATTATGAATATCATGGAAAAGCAACATTTTCCCTGTAATTGTGAAATTTTTATATATTCTGGAATCATTACATATGTACAGTGGGTACGGAAAGTATTCAGACCCCTTTAAATTTTTCACTCTTTGTTTCATTGCAGCCATTTTCCAAAAATCAAAAAAGTTCATTTTATTTCTCAGTAATGTACACTCAGCACCCCATCTTGAAAGAAAAAAACAGAAATGTAGAAATTTTTGCAAATTTATTAAAAAAGAAAAACTGAAATATCACATGGTCATAAGTATTCAGACCCTTTGCTCAGTATTTAGTAGAAGCACCCTTTTGATCTAATACAGCCA